GCACGTGCAACAGGACCACCAGATGAGCATCTGTCTGCAGAAAGGACCGCTCTTCATCGACGGCGACTCGGCCCCTGCGGAAGGTGACACCGGCAGCGCACGCCCGCCGCCCGCCCACGCCTCTATCAACAGCCGCGATTACATGACCACAGACAAGCAGAAGTCGCCGTGTCCAACTGCGTCCTCTGCTGCCACGGCTTGTTGTGACCACAGTGACCAGAGTGACCAGCCCACGGATCTGTCCATGACATGTTCGAACGGGTTGGGGAAAGCTGTAGTGAAATGTAACGACCACGGTTGCAAGATCACCTTAGAACCGAAGAAAAATGTGAGAGATGCCCCGGCGCCCTCTGAAGTCACAGATGCTAACAAGGCAGCAACTTTGCCAAAAAAGAGAAGGTTTCTAACCGCGACAGACAACGAGTTTACTTCAAATTCAGGGAATCCAAGTAATCCAAACAATGCTAACGATGTCATGCAAGCGATTCCAAGTAACGCGAGCGATGTCACGAAAAACGTAAATATTATAGAAAGTGGTGAGATGACGAATGCCCTAGAAGATATTGCAGAAGGAGATGATGACAGCGTGTTTTATCAAAGAACAACAAACGTTGAGGAGAGTAAGGAGGCAGAGTCTGCGTCAAATGTGTCTGTATATGTGACCGCCCAGTATGCTAAAGACGAGCTGTGCTGTGTTTCGCTGTCCACGCAGAAAGAAAAGAACGCAAAGCTGAAGAAACTTCTGGAAACAGAGCCACCCGCTGACAGCAAGGCTTTAGAGAGTGTAGTGGCGGACGCTGACTCACAGTGCGCCGATAAGTCCACCACCAAACTGGTCTACAAGTTCCCTTTCCTCGTGCCCAAGAGCCCTGACTCGGTGAAGCCGCTACTGGCTGTTACAGAAGGCAGCGCGGACGGAGGAGGAAGCAGGAGTGTGGCCAGAGGTAGTGATAGCTCCCCCCACCTGCCACCAGCTGGCGACTCCTATGGTCAAGCGTCACGTGGTCCAGGCTTGGGCTTTGTCCCAGGATCCACGCTGGAACAGAATATTGATCGAATCATCCGGGCGTCCATCTCCTCCGACGCCTACCCTGAGGAATTCGACATCTTGAGGATGGAAACCGATACACCGGGATCGTTGAAATCCGGTTCCGACTCCTCCCGCTCACCACCCACTGGCCACCCTTCTATGGCGCGCTCCCCACGACTGGTAACTCCGACCCAGCAGTACCGAAGAATGTCCCAATCCTCTGTCGACTACGATATGCCGATGCTAATCAACGCTGTCAAATCTTCAGACATCTACGACTCCCCCATTTACAAACTGAAACCCCCGCCGCCGGTAACGCCCGGTGACCTCTCTAATAAAATGTCCCCTGTACCAGTAGCAACTTTTCTCCCGCCCGGCCTCTCGCCTCACCCCAGTATGGATGACCAAGTTGGCCTGCACAGACAGAAAGATGTCCCTCACCTCGACTCTGCCTCTCCCCCCGGCGGGCTGCGAAGATACAATAACTCTCTCGCAAGGCCGGAGCCGCCGACTTTCATGCCCGTCGATGGCGCCAACCCAGGACACTCAGACAGACATTTCCTCCAGGGTCACTACGCCACAGGCACGCAAGGGTCTGTCGAGAGAGCTGTGGGACTTGATAAAGCTTTCCGGAAAGGCTTCGGCCATCCCCGGGTGGGCGTCCTTGACCCCGGCCTGCCTTCTCTGACCAGTGTCCAGCAGCAGCACCAGGCGCTGTACCGTGACGTGGCCGATTCTCAGTGGCTGGGGCTGCAGGAGGACAACTCCAGCAACGGCGAGTTTCATGGTGCCGTCGGCAGGTGAGAGTCTCTCTTTCTCTCTCTCTCTCTCTCTCTCTCTCTCTCTCTCTCTCTCTCTTGTTGCTAGCTCTC